TTTTACTAATACAACGCCCGTGTATTACATGGATGTTTGTTAATTTTTTCCTTAAAATCTAAAATTAATGAGAAAAAGTAGTTAAAAATTTAAATACATTTTTATAAAAATATATATAATTATATATTTAGTATAACACTTTTTATTTATGTGACTTACTTGTGTTATATTATAATAATTTTTTATAATTTTCTAATAAGTTTTAATAAATATTATTATTTTTTATTATTATAAAGATAAATATAATTTATTTATTTTAAAATATGGATGTCAAATCGAAGATCATGAAATGATTATTAATTTGATATATTATATATGTAAAATCGATAATAAATACAAAAGTTATCAACTTTTAAAATACATTTATAATTTAATAGTTAATTGAAGAAAACAAATCAAAAGTCAGAGATATCACTTAGTGTAAAATTATAAAGAATTAAAGGGTTATATTAGTACAAGTGATATTAAAATACTTAAGTTAGCTAAATTATATTTATGGAATGTCATTATTAATATATCAATATTATGTTTACAAACATAATTACGAAGTATGATTCTTTGCCAAATAGGATTCCGAAGCACCAAAAGTAGTCACGTAGGCTCAGCGCATTCGAGAATTATATATATAGGAGAAGGGGGATATTCATCCTATTTATTATCTTCATCAGTGTAAGTCTATCTCATTTTTTGTTGTTTTAATTCGATTTATTTCATTAAAAATGTGAATATAAATAAAAACAAAATAGGAAAATAACTTTTTTATTTAATTTCTTCACAGTCTCACTTTAAATCATTTGCAATTAATTTAGTTATTTTATATTAATACGAACTCTAGTCAATATATTTTTATCTTATATTCATAATCGTATAAATATTTAACTTCCCTAAGAGTTAGAGTATATATAATGCTTGAGTTTGTTTATATTAAAATATTGATTTAACATCGTCTGACTTCTAAAATATTTTCTTGTTACTTGTTAGGCATGCAAACTAAACGGGGATTACATAATTTATTTGTATTAAAATATTCATTTAAAATACAGATTACCTTTACCCACTGTAGGAACATATTAATATGTTCACCGCTTATGTGGCATACAAATATTGGTGATTTATTTTTTTGAACATATTAACATCACCAATGTGTGCATGCCACATAAGCAGTAGGCATATTAAGATGTGTCCACCGTGAGTAGAAAAGCATTACTATATATATATATATATATTATATTCACTTACAACATATGTCCTTTGCATCAATGAGTTGAATTTTATAGCATAAATAATTTTCTCTCTTTTGTAGGATAAGTAATATGTGGCAATGTCTATAAAAGGCCGAGTTACTCACACATAAATGATCCTATGCGTTTTGGAGAAGATTTAAGGAGGATTTAGAAATATTCACAACAATATCTTTTAAATTTTGAAGATCGATTATTTTAGGATAGTCATGTTCCTGCAAGATTTTGAAAACGCATTTATTAAGATCTTCAAATCACATACATAGATTATACTTTATGGAAACTTGCTCTAAAGCAAGGATGCTAAAGGTCACATCAATATAATGTGTTCTTACCAGTTATAATTTGTCTTTTGTCTATATATATTAGATCACGTAGTGCAGAGAGAATAGTTGAGTGTTATTGTTCCCTCGAAACATATTGAGCTATTATATTCTTTGGGAATTCATGAGATTGTTGGTTATATTTTGTAGCTTGGGAATTCAATATTTCAATTTTGTGTTCCCGCATCTCTGAAAGACTGAAGCATAGGACTTTTGTATTTTGGGTATTACCACCTTAGAGAGATTCATGTAATAGTTGTTAGTCCAAGTTGTGTACAATTAAGTAGTTAGTATGATCGAGTATAGTTATAGTAAATTAAGGAGGGAATCATTACTTGTAATTCCAAACTATATACTGTAGGAGACAACCAATTTGCTATTAAAAGAACTCGGAGAGGGTGATGTACCCCTAGTTGGATAAACTGGAATAAACCTTAGTATATGTAGGTTGACCATACGACTCAAATGGAATCATGGCGATGAAGATTAAATAAGGAAGAATAACATACCGCCGATTGGATGACCTAGGGAGTTATACGACTTTAGGGGTTGGACTACCCGAACAAAGGCAGACGGCCCAAGACAATGAAGATAGCCATCTCAGTAAGATTGCTTGAGGGGGGTTACGATGGAGACAACCTAATAGCTGAAAGATATTAATAAACAGACTTAGATGGGATATATGACGGAATTTAATGGAAATAAGAATGAATCTAATAATGACTTTGATGAGATTAGAGTAAGGATGAACACTAAGAAGATAAGATCAACCCTCGGGCAGTCGAGAAGGTTGAGCGCAGGCAGTCGAACAACTCGGGCAGATAATCTCGGGCGGGTATCCTCGTGCAAATTGTTGTTGTTGTCGTCGTCCACACTCTTTGTACATACATGGCACATTACCATCTTCTTCTCTTGTACTATCTTGAACGCCGAAGTGCTCACGCCGTGAACTATCTCGACACTTCTTTTGCAGGCCATCAGCAGCTCAAGGACGATCGGAGGTCTTTCTCAACCGGTTCAACCTAAACCAAGGTCTCTAGCACATGATAAGGATAGTAGGACGCCCCCGAAGACAAATTAGTTATTTGTCGTTTCCGTTTATATTTTGTGTTCTTACACATACACACGTTGCACACTATATTCTCCCGATCTCATTTTTTCAACTTGCAAAAGTAACTAGTGCCAATATGCCTAATTTTAGACATTTGGTGAAAACCCCTTCTTTAACATAAAGAAAACAAAACTAAGTCTAAACAATGTGACATGTACAAAAATAAACTTAGACTCCATTTAGCAAAATTTGAAACATGATTTAGACCTAATAACCCAACATTAAATTATTACTTTGAATTTCTGATAATGGTTCTCATCTATATTTAGTACACAACATTTAGACCCAACTTTTCAAAATATTTGCATTATAATAAGTTTGATCTATTTTTTCTAGTATTTCTCACTTTAAATTCAAATTAAATTATTAATACTATGATAACTAAGTAAAATTATAAAAAACACAGTGGATGTTGTTATTTATTTTTTTTTTCCCTAGGTTTTTTTTTCTCTATTCTGAATGCCTGAAAATGTTAACAAAAAATTTATAAGAAATAGCTTTTAAATAATTATTATAAGTACATTAATTTGTTGAAACACAAGAGTTACAGAACTTATATAAATATATTTTTATTTATATTAAGTATAAATTATGACAATTTAATACTATATCAATTATTTCGCATTAAATAACATTTGCAATAATCCCACAACATCAACAATTATCTATACCGTGCTCACGACATAATAACTACGAATTCTGGAAACAGATGAAAAGATTTAGTAGAACGACCTATAAAAAAGGCAAAAAGGTTTTAAAGAGAAGGTGATTGGAGAGGGCAGCAGAGAGAGAGAGAGAGAGTAGACCGGCGCATATAAAAACTTCCATAAATAAAGGCTTAGCTGGAGTATACAAATTATATAATTCTACGCAGTAAATTATAAAAGATAAAAGATAAAATTGTATTGTTAGTCCACATGATTTAACCTTGTATTATTTTTAGTCTCAAGATTTTTTTAACTTTTTTATTTTTTAATTTTATAATTTAATATTTTGCACATGACTGAAATTGTAATAAATTTTAAAATTACAGGACTTAACCTTTCTAATAAAAAATTCATTGCCCATACATGGGTCGGTTCATAGACATGGCCAAAATTCAAGCCGGGTCACGGCCTGGCCCGACGAGTTGGGTATCATGATCCCTGAACTGGTACGGACCAAGGGTCGTGCCAAGTCCACGACCCGACGGGTCGGGCCGAGCCCAACCTAAGTTTTGGGCCGGCCTAGATAAAAAAAAAATTAAAAACAATGTGTTTCCCGTGCCGGACCGGACCCGGTCCGGCAAAAAATATGACCTTGGACCGACCAGTTTGAAATCCAAGTCGGTCCGAATCTGCGGTCAACGAGTTTGACTGGACCGAGTCCTGTCTAGTTTCGGGCAGTTCCAGCTCGGTACGACCCATAAAAAAAATAATAACAACAATGCGACATGTGTTTCAACCCGCGGTCCGACCTGATTCGACTGGACAAAAAAAAAAAAAAACTAATCTGGACCGAACCATGACTCTAAGGGTCAGGCTCAACGAACCAGCCCTTAGGAGGTTTGTTCCGACCGGTCGGCCTTTGGCCATGTCTAATCATTTAGGCTCAATATACCTTTTTTTGTTTGTTTGATTGAAGAACATTCTTTTACATACAATTTTTTTTTTTTTTAAAAAAAAAGTTGGCTCTAGACTTTTTTCCTAATTACAATATTGTAATTACTTTTTTTCTTTTTTTTTTTTGGTACAACGAATGAGGCCTAGGGCCTAAGAAGCTATGCTAGTACTCGACGAGAGTAATACACCCAACGAATGTCATGATCCAGCCAAACTCCTAATCCTGGGGGTGGAGATGCAAAACGTT